TAAGAGTCTGATAAAACCGAAACCAAAGAACCTAGGGGAAATTACATAGTAAGAACGAGTTGATAAGGAGCGAACCTTGTCGTCACCTACCAAGCCGTCAAACTAAGTAACATCCACCAAGGCAAGGATAGAAAATAGACATACAAATCCTGTTAATAGGAATAAGATAAGAGTCTGATAAAACCGAAACCAAAGAACCTAGGGGAAATTACATAGTAAGAACGAGTTGATAAGGAGCGAACCTTGTCGTCACCTACCAAGCCGTCAAACTAAGTAACATCCACCAAGGCAAGGATAGAAAATAGACATACAAATCCTGTTAATAGGAATAAGAGTCTGATACTGCAAAATCCTAACAAAAAACAAAACATGCCAAAAGAAAACAACCAAAAGCTGAGGCCGCAAGTATACAACTACCACCATTAACAAGTACTCTTTGAGAAGTTGTCAGCAATATCCCCTGCTGCATTTTCCTTGGCTATATCCTGCAGCTTCAGATTGTTAGCTGCACTTCGAAGCCGCCTTGCAAGCATATCGTCTTCATCCCCTATCCAAATTATGGTATATCTAGTGATATTAGAAGCAATATGAGAGGGATTATCTTAAATATCTCTAAATAAAAGGTTATTTCTACAGTTCCACATTCCCCAACAGTAGCACGGTAACAGGTACTTCCATATAGCTTTTATGTCTGAGCTGAAGTTCGGGTCTCTGTAAACAAGAGTCAAATCGCCCATGGTAAGAGGTTAGCTTACCTCAGGGACATGAGAAAGGAGAGAAGACCAAACAGAACCTGCAAATGGGCAGTGGATAAACAAGTGGGCTTGAGTTTCTGTCACTAGCTTTCTTTCTCAGAGAGTTCTTTCAATTATATGTATGACATGAAAGATTCGTCTTTATCCAACTGACCTTCTCTTATGCTGTCTCACTAAGGGAAGGGAAGGAAGTGTAGGAAAAGGAAGGAAACCTGTCAATTTTTCCTTCCCCTCCTTTAACCCCAAATTTGGGTGTAAGATTTTAGTGTAAAATTTCCCCTCATTTACCCTCCCAATAAAACTCCTAAACAAGGATAAACTCAAATTTTTCTTTCTCTTCCCTTTTCTACCCTCCATCCAAATTCAGTTAAGGGGGTGTTTGCTTCAAATCCTATAATTTTAGGATATGGATTTCACCATGTAATTTAAAATCCATAGGTGTTTTGTTATGGATTAGGATTTCTAAAATGTTGTTTGTTTCTTTAATATTTTGGGATTTAGAATACTACAATTTGTAATATTTTGTTTGTTTCAAGCTCAAATTGTAACATTACTAAATGTTAAAATTTTATAATATGATGAATATGCTATCTTAGTGAGGTTACCTCCTACAAAAAAACAAAATTAGGATTTATCAAATCCTCTCCAATTGAGAGGTAAGCACACTCATTTATGAGATTTGTCAAAATTCTCTCCAATTGAGAGGATTTGACAAATTCTAAAAATTGGGTACTTTTTACACTTTTGGGATTCAATATTCTAAATTTTTTTTAAAACAAACATCATATATTGAATCCCAAAATTCCAAAAAACTCACTTTTTAATCCTAAAACTTGTACTCTATACTACTTCTAAAAGAGAAAACGAGTGACAAAACTTTTACATGCCCATTTTGCCCCTTTCAACTTGCTTAATTATAATTTTATCCTATATTTTTATCTATTAATTCTTATGTTGCCCTTTCCTCTGCCACTCCGCCCCCGTGCCCCCTTGACTCTTCATCTCCGATTCTTCTGTTACTCAACCACTGAGAAACGGATGAATCCCCCTA